GACATCACAGGGGACTGTGGCAACATCACAGAGACACCAGTGACATCATCGGGGACATTGGTGACATCACAGAGGGCAGTGGTGACATCACAGAGACAGCAAGGACATCACTGGGGACCAGTGACATCAGAGTGACAACAGAGGGACAGCAGTGATGTCATAGGGACATTGGTCACATCACAGGGACATGGTGGCACTGCTGGGGACAGTGATGAAATCACAGGGACAGCAGTGACATCATTGAAGACCAGTGATGTCACAGGGGACTGCTTACAGCAAAGCTGTGCGGTCACAGGGACATTGGGGACATCACAGGGGGTGAAGGTGAACACAAAGATACACGAGTGATATCATTGGGGACATTGATGACATCACAGGGGACAGTGGTGACATCACAGGAGGCAGTGGTGACATCACACAGACATCAGTGATATCACTGGGAGCCAGTGATGTCCCAGGGGATGGGTGACAAGAAAGGGACAGCTGTGATGTCACAGGGACATCGACGACATCAAAGGGGCCGGTGACATCACAGTGACATAATGAGGACATGGTGCCACCGCTGGGGATAGTGGTAACATCACAGAGAAAGCAGTGACATCACTGGTGACCAATGACATCACAAGGGACTGTTGACAACAAAGGGACAGCCGTGGTGTCACAGGGAAACCTGTGACATGACAAAGGACATCAGTGATATCACAAGGCAAGGAGTGACATCATAGAGACACCAGTGACATTATCAGTGACATTGGTGGCATCACAGGAGATAGTGGTGACATCACAGGGACATCGGTGACATTATTGAGGACCAGTGACATCACAGGGACTGTTGACAAGAAAGGGAGAACTGTGATGTCACAGGGACATCACTGGCATCACTGACATGACGAGGACCTGGTGCCACGGCTCGGCACAGTGGTGACATCTCAGACACAGTAGGACAGCACTGGGGACATTGTTGACATCACAGGGGAAAGCACTGACTTCACAAGGCCAGGGCTGACATCACAGACACCAGTTATATTATTGGTGTCACTGGTGACATCACAGGGGATAGTGATGACATTCCAGGGACATGGGTGACATCACTGGGGTCATCGGTGACTTCACAAAGACAGGGGTGACATCACAGAAACACCAGTTACATCATTGGGAACGTGGGTGACATCACAGGGAACAGTGGTGACATCACTGGGGACCAGTGACATCTCATGGGACTACTGACAATAAAGGGACAGTTGTGATGTCACAGGGAGATTGCTTACATCACAGGGGACATCAGTGACATCACAGGTGACATCAGTGACTACACAAGGCCAGGGGTGACATCACAGAGACACCAATGACATCATTGGTGATACGGATGACATAATCGGGGACACTGGTGGCATTACAGGGGACAGTGGTGACATCACAGGGACATCGGTGACAGCATTGGGGACCAGTGACTTCACAGGAGACTGCTGACAACAAAGGGACAGCCATGATGTCACAGGACTATCGGTGACATCACAGGGGACCGTGGTGACATCACAGAGGAACCTGTGAAATCATAGGCTATTGTTGCCAACAAAGGGAAAGCCGTGATGTCAGAGGGACATCAGTGACATCACAGGGACATCAATGACATCACAGGAGACCTAAATAACAACACAAAGACACCAGTGATATCATGGGGGACATTGGTGACATCAAAGGGGAGAGTGGTGACATCACAGGGACAACAGTGACATGATTGTAGACCAGTGACATCACAGAAGACTGGTGAAAACAAAGAGGTAGCCTTGATCTCCCAAGGACATCAGTGACATCACAGAGGACATCGGTGACTTCATAAGGACAGGGGGGACATCGCAGAGACACCATGACATCATCAGTGACACTGGTGACATCACAGGGACAGCAGTGACATCATTGGGGACCAGTGATGTTACAGGAGATTGGTGACCACAAAGGGGCAGCTGTGATGTCACAGGACTATCGATGACATCACAGGAGACAGGGGTTACAACACCGGGGACAGAGGTGTCATCACAGGGACATCGGTGACATCACTGAGGACAAGTGATGTCACAGGGGACTGGTGACAACAAAGATACAACTGTTATATAATGTGGATGTTGGTGGAGGAGCTTTCAGAACAAACTGCACACAAATCAGGATGATTTACTGCAAATGTTCCACTTTATTTACATAACCCAACCTCTTATATACTTTCACTGCCCCCCGGGGTGTGATCACTTTCAAACTATTGGTTATTTGCTGTAACCCACGAACCGAGCGTGTATTACTGACACACTGCCTATTGGGCGCACACAGATGTCCATGTGATATGAAGACATTGTTTTTCTCCTAAAACTCTTCCTTATTTTTGTCCCAGGTTTCTCTTTGTTTACATTCCTGCAGTCCGTTACCATTGCTCCTGTATCTTTCCACTGCCTGCAAAGAGGCTTCTGGCTATGTCAGGACCAGGCCTACCTGAGGCCAATTAGTATGGTTTGTCCATAGTGTGTCTTTTTTCAGCTGAGCACTCCACACATGGACATCAGTGACATCACTGGGGACATCAGTGATTTCACAAGGACAAGGGTGACATCACAGAGACACCAGTGACATCATCAGTGACACTGGTGACATCACAGGGACAACCATGACATCACTGGGGACTAGTGACCTCACAAGGGAATGGGGATAGCTGTGATATCACAGTGAAATCGGTGACATCAGTGGGGACATTGGTGACTTCACAAGGACAATGGTGACATTACAGAGACAGCAGTGACATCATCAGAGACATTGCGGATGTCACAGGGGACAGTGGTGTCATCACAGGGACACAGGTGACATCATTGGAAACCAGTGACATCACAGGGGTCTACTGACATCACAGGGACATTGGTGACATCATGGGGACATGGCACCACCGCTGGGAACAGTTGTGATATCACAGGGAGACCAGTGACATCACAGGGACATTAGTGGCATCACAGAAAGTTTAGTGACATCACCAGGGACATTGGTGACATCACAGGGGACAGTGGTGACATCACAGGTATAGCAGGGACATCATTCAGGACCAGTGACATCACAGGGGAATTGTAAAAATAAAAGGACAGCTGTGATATAGCGTGGACATCGGTAACATCACAGGGGACAGTGGTGACTTCACTAGGACAAGGGTGACATCACAGAGACACCAGTGACATTATTGGTGTCACTGATGACATCACAGGCCACTGGTGACATCATAGGGACATCAGTTACATCACTGGGGACCAGTGACATCATAGGGAACTGATGACACCATTGGGGACACAGGGGTCACCCCTGGGGACAGCAGTGACATCACAGAGGACCAGTGACATCATTGGGGATGGTGGTGACATCACAGGGAAAGCAGTGACATGAAAGGGACAGCAATGAGGTCACAGGGACAGCAGTGACATCATTGGGGACATTGGATACACCTCATGGGACAGTACTGACATCAGTGGAGACCAGTGACATCACTGGGGACAGCGGTGACATCACAGGGACAGCAATGATATCATTGGGAATGTCGGTGAGTTCAGAGGGACAGTGGTGACACTGGTGACACTGGGGACACCCCTGGGGACACCAGTGACATCACAGGGACATCGGTGACATCACAGGGAACAGTGGTTACATCACTGGGGACACAGGGACCACCCCTGGGGCCACCACTGACATCACAGGGACAGTGGTGACATCCGTGGGGACAGCAGTGACATAACTGGAGATCAGTGACATCATAGGGACATTGGTGACATCACAGGGACTGCGATGACATCAATTGGACAACTGTGACATCATTGGGAACACCAGTGACATCACAGGGACAGTGGTGACATCACTGGGGATGTTGGGGATGTTTGGGGGCCTTTGGGAGGGCACCTGCCTGGGGGGTTTTCATGCGAGCACGGACGACTCAGCACACCAATGTGATGATCAGAGAGCGCCGTTGATTGGAATCAAGCAGCAATCTTTGATCCAGTTTTCTAACAATACTCTTCTATCAGCTCTGTTTCTTTAACATTCTTTATGTCCTTTCCCACTCTGAGAGCCGGTACTGAGACCCTGTTTTGTATATCCAGATTTGCTACTGCTTCTCTTGGTAGATCTTTCACATCCTGGGACCATCAGAAGGTCATCACAACAACAGATCATGTTTTCACAATTGCAACATAAGGTTATGATCCTCTATGTTAGCACTAAAAATCCCTACACTTCCCCCTTTTTCTTTAAACAAAGCAGATGCAGTTTGAGCCAATAAGCTGTGAAAACATTGAACCAGACATGGCAGAAAAATACACACTCCTGGAAGCAGAAAGACAACGGGTGCCAACCATTGTACAGTTTGCATAAGCTGATTCTGGGGGTGGCTTTGGGAGGGCATCTGCCCTTCAACACCAGGACTGCAGAGAACTGGGAAGCTTTACTGGGAGCACTGGGAGCAGCAGGTGGCTGGTGTGAGAGCAAAAGCAGGGCCGGGGGACACACGACCCCCCCAAACTCTGGGTGGGGATGGACTGGGGGGTCCAAGCCTGGGCCTGAGGCCACGGGGAGCGGCTGCAGCCGCCGCCAGCTCAGGAGCTCTGTTGGGAGAGAAAAGGGGTGACAGCAGGCTGGGGGGGCAGGGGGGCACACACGCTCTGGGGAAGGGGGGACACAACCCCCGGGGACCCCCCTTTACCTTTTCCCACAGGTAGAATCTGAGCCCCAGCGCCAGGAAGACCAAACCCAACACGAAGCCCCCGACCCCCACCAGGATCTTGCTGCAGATGGTGTCCTGTGGCATCTCTGGGGGGAGCCGGGTGGGTCAGGACCCCCAAAACCTCCCATAGATCACCCAGGACCTCACAAACCCTGTTCTAGTCTCTCTCAGCCCACCCAGAACCCCCTGAAACTTCCTGCCAGTCCCTTCTATACTAGTTCGTTTGAATCCATGCCCAGAATAAAGACAAGTACAGCAGTCATTCAAACACTACAAAAAAATCTTTTATTGCAGTGAGAATAAAATTTATAAAAACTATTAGCAAAGAGAATCAAAAGTTGAAAAAACTAAAACCACTACTTTATCAGTTGCCATGCATACAATACTACGAACAGCTTTTATTACAGCATTAGCTAGTAAAAAGGGAATTAAAGGGATAAAAAAAAAGGAAATAAAATGTTTGCTTTCTTGGTTACTTCCTATCAATAAACTGTGCTCACCTGCACAGACACGTCAGGCCTACCAGGCTCTGCAGGGCTGGTCGGTGCCCGTGCTTGGCGGGTGTCCCCGCGGAGCAGCACAGTGTGGATGGAAGGATGAGCATCGCTCCACCCAGCAGTGCTGACACCCCATTCCATCAGCTCTACATTACACTACGTAGGGCCAGGACGCAGCAGAAGGTGGTGCTTGAGTGGCAGCCAAACAGCGCCCGTTCATCACCTCATGGCAACAGTCTGGGCGTGCCCCACTGTAGGGCAAGGAGCCAACAACCCCTGCCAACATCATCTTCCTCTCCATCACCTTCCTCAGCCCTATGGACGACCTGTACCATTGTGTTCCAAGGGGATTTGTATCTCTCTTGCAGAGTGGAGCCAGGCCAAGGAGGAGCTCAGCTCTGATAATGGGGGACATCCAGTTGACTTTGCTAAAGACACAGTGGGCCTTACAGTGAACTTGTGCAATAAAGTCACACTGTACAATATTCTGGCTGGTTTCACATGCGAATATAATCACTTTCTCACCCCTCTTTGCTACATTGATCACCTAAATCAAAAGTACCCCCTTACACCATGGCAACCATTTTGCATTCTCATTGTGACCTCAGTTACCATGGCAACCATTGTGCATTCTCATTGTTACCTCAGTTGTCATGGCAACCACTGTGCATCCAAATTATGACGTTGATGACCATGCCAACCATTGTGAATTCTAATTGTGACCTCGGTTGCCATGGTAAACATAAAATAGTCTCATTTTTACCTCAGTTACCATGGTAACCATTGTGCATTCTCATTGTGACCTCGGTTACCATGGCAACCATTGTGCATTCTCACTGTGACATCAGTTACTATAGCAATCATTGTGCATTCTCATTGGTATGTAAGTTACCATGGCAGCCATGGTGCATTCTCATTGTGATGTCATTTGCCATGGCAACCATCGTGCATTCTCATTGTGACATCGGTTATTGTGGCAAGTTTTGTGCATTCTCATTGTGACCTCAGTTACCATGGTAACCATTGTGCATTCTCATTGTTACGTAAGTTGCCATGGCAACCCTTGTGCATTCTCATTGCGACCTCGGTTACCATGGCAATCATTGTGCATCCTCATTGTTACGTCGTTTATCATGGCAACCATTTTGCGTTCTCATTGTGACGTCAGTTACCATGGCAACCATTTTGCGTTCTCATTGCGACCTCAGTTGCCATGGCAACCATTTTACATTCTCATTGCGACCTCAGTTGCCATGGTAATCATTGTGCATCCTCATTGTGACCTCTGTTATCATGGTAAGCTTTGTGCATTCTGGTTGTGACTTGGTTACCATGGCAACCATTGTGTATTCTCATTGTGACCTCGGTTACCATGGCTATCATTGTCCATTCTCATTGATACTCTGGTTACCATGGCAACCATTGTGTATTCGCATTGTGAAATCGGTTACCATCGCAACCATTGTGAATTCTCATTGTGACATTGTTTAATGTAGCAACCATTATTCATTCTCATTGATATATGGGTTACCATGGGAACCATTGTGCATTTACATTACTAAGGTTGGTTAATAAGGCAATCATTATGCATCCTTAATAATACATCCTTTACCATGGCAACCATCATACTACCCTATTGTTACAGTCAGTTACCATGGTAACCATTATGCATTCCCTGTTACGTCGTTCACCATGGCAACACACAAATAATACAGAAATTCCAAAAATGGTTTCTGCCTGTCAAAACCTTCCTATCAAACATTCTCTGTCACCTCTCTGCCAGAAGTTCTCACCAGGACTTCCCACAGCACTTTTCCTGCCAAAACATCCTGCCATTGTTTATGATTATCATATCTCTGCCAATATCTCAACTGACTACGTGCCAAGAAACCA